AAGAATGAACACGTGACACAAGCGCGTGTCGTGTGTTCATTCTTTCTCGGTCCTGTTTTTTTTTTTTTTTTGCGCTGTTTCCTTCAGTACCATGTACCAACTGGCCCTTCAAAATACCCTTCAACAGCTACGTATTTGTGAGAGCTGGAAACGAGGGTCAGATGCAAAATAACGAGAAAGTCCGAGATATCTTAGAGAGAGAAAAACATTTACTGTGTCTAGCGGAATATATACTGCGGTTTATATCGAAGGGTGCGTGCCATGTATGGCATATGTTTCTAAATTTTATTATTGTGTCCCTGCAAAAAAAAAAAGCAGATAAATATGTGGCTCAGTTGCTCTTGGTACGTTTTACCGTTCTAAATCGGTAATGAATGTATTGTACGCTGCTAAATAATCAGAGAACTGCCTTAGGCTACTTGGATTTTTTTTCTTCTCCCATTTCGTCTTTCGACCAATTGGTATTTTCGCCTTCTATAAAGAGAGAGAGAGTTCATACGCAAGTACTCTTTGTGTACAGCAATGTGACTGGATTGGGACAGCAATACAACGCGTGGATACATTTGAGTAACCAAGAAATTCTTATTTCAAACACGGATTTGCCACCTAGGACTACAACGAGCTTCGTATAGACCAAAAAACAGGGTATATCTGTCGCGACGGTACATCTGTACGCATGCGCCGTCATAAGAAGACAGAGAACTCAGCATAATTATTTTTGACACATCACGATGGCAGGGAATGGAAGTGTATTTATTTGATTTGTATACGCAGAAAAACTCGAAGACACCGACTAAATAGGGAAAAAGCAGCTGACAACTGGTGCACCTAGAAGGGCAGAACGCCGGCCGGCTCCCTCGGGAAGGGGGAAACGTAGAGGAAAGGAATACAGGAGGGAAAAAACAAGGACAAAGAAGAAAGAAAAACAATGAAAACAGAAAGAAAAATGTGTAAAGATGTAAATAAGGAGATTCACACGGATTTCTCAGAAATGAAAGCTTCTTATATAGTTGCAGAAAAATTCGTCCTGGTCCGGGGTATGGATTCCTTGTGGATTTCCACGAGGAAATCTGTATGAATTGTCTTCTGGCTTCGTACTACGAACGGGTGGTTGTCTGCTTTCCCTTTCTTTACCCTTCTGCCACCTTGAGGGTTTCCGCAGAACTCGTTTGCAAAACACAAAAGAAATTGTCACATGGAAAAATGTCTATAAACGCGAGGCCAAATTGGTTTTTTTTTTTAAAGCTAGCAGGGCTCGACGGGTCTGGTCAAGCCTAGTAGCACATCCTCCTGGGAACAGGCGATCGTCAAGGGTCGTGCACCCAAGTCCGATACGTCCATATTCTTTTGCGAGTGGTGCTCGATGCGCAATGAATCTGGGACACTTCAAAATAATTTCCATAGTGTCTCACAGGAGTCACACGACGAACATAACGGACTGTCTGCACGTCCTTGACGATGTCGTCGTTCGCGAAGTGATAGAAAACCAACTCTTTGTTTGTATAAGAGAGCTCTGTCACGACGAGGCAATCCACGACTACGAATACGAGAAGAAGGGATGGAGGGTTATGGCTTTCTGATGTCACTGTTACTACAGTTTTCTTATCAACGAACGCCTATAAAAGAAAGGTACATAGACTCCTTCTATATGGTACACGTGAGATACGATTTCAGCCGCATAAATGAAATCAACGTGAGGCTTCCCGTGATAATGTATCGCGCCATAGGTGCCGTGATGCGATAAGCTTTGTGCGAAATTTGGCTGCGATCGTAAGGAACGAAGCTAATAACGACTTCACATCGGCTGTCAGACGATTTAAACTAAATCAGACTGCCAGTCACACTGTGCTTGTTCGTAAGTATTAGGTCCAAGCTTAAATTAACCGACTCAACGTCGTGTGTATAGCTGCGCCTGCTGAGAAAACGCTAGCCAAACATTATAACGTAGCAAGCGGCCTGGGATCTACAAGTAAATCTCAAAGGCAGCTGGAAATTTCTTACTGTTTTTGCTACAAACGATGCCATAAACCCAAATGAGCGCGCTATACAACCCAAGTCCACGGCCATTGGTTGATACGAGCATCGTGAACATGGCGCACGCCATCTCGGAGGCCATGTCGTGAGCTGCATAGTTACTGCGGTCGCCGCGGGAGGCCGCCAGGTATCCGTGCGCTTACTCGCGATTACCCTGAATGTAAGCCATGCGTGCGAAGGAAAATGAGGGAAACAATGAAGCTGGAGGTCATTACGCAGGATGACGAAGGGACAAATCGTGCCCCCTTGACATTCCCGTATATCTGCGTAGCTTTCAGCACTCTCGTTTGAGAAATCGCTTGAAGCGTGCGGCAAATCTATGTAACTCTGCTCTTACTTGACGGATTCGAGACATTTTTACGGCAGTCGATTCGTGAGTCTATAAGCACCCTTGGCGAAGCCATTCGATAAGCACTTGCAGATGTTGCAGGGTCCCATTAAGTGTTATGCTTGCTGCAGAAGGCTTGTATATCGTGAGTGAACTTGTTAAAAAAAATTGTTGTGTGGCACCAACATAACAGGCAAGACAAGCAGTTTTTGCACAAATAATGCCCCTTATCAATTGAAAGATTAGGTGCGACGTAGGAACCTGTTTGCAGGACAAAAATCCCATATACAGCGTGAGTCACAGGAACTGAAATTTTGAGCGTATACATCCTATGATGAGGAACGCCTAAGTTTCATTGCTCTTCTCGGCATCGCTGTTCAGCCAGCTACGTGGTATTCTTTCGATTCATTAATTTGTCATTGGCTTTCTCTCGAATACCAACCGTTCTTCGTATCTACTGTTCAGGCACCGTAACTTCGAAGCGAGACATGGACGGGAATAAGTGACAGGTTATTCTGTGCCTAATGAGTCAGAATTAACGTGAGGGATTGTGGTCTAAAAGAAACGTTGTCTTAAAGGCCAACTCCTGGCGATTTTTCCGACCACGTCAAGGTAATGGTGTTTCTGTGTTCCTGAGACACTCTTGTGATGAGCCCAATAGCTGAAATGCTTAGGAAATTTGAAAATAATTTTAATAGGCAAAAAGGTGTAATACCGAAACCGAAACCCAACCGGGCACCCTGTCTGTGTATGGCGTACTATTTGGTAAGAACCGGAGGCCGTATGCTGGTCCCGCCGGCGCGGAATATGAAGACTGTGATAGTCAGGCCACGAAGCGCCGGCCAAGCAGCACAGAGGAAGGAGGAAAGCTTTCTTGTGCGCCAAACACCACCGCAGTCGCCTTGTGGTCAGCACAATAAATGCTGCAGCGGCCATAGCAGCGATTCCATCGGCTGTGTCACTGTGACGTCATGCCAAACTCGACGTCACACAGACAGTGTTGCCAATAATTCTGGCAAGCGAGGTGAGCTTTTTGAGGCAATCTTTAAAATTTATTTCCAAGCGTATTTATGAAGTCTGTAATTTGGCACAAATGACGAAAATGTGCAAAGGAACGTACCCAGCGAACTTCATGGAGATTCATTGACCCCGAAAAATCTCCGGAGTTGACCTTTAAGCTAAAGGGGCACTATATACGATAGGTGCTCATCAGACCCGGTGTGCATGAATCACACTATGGGGCGTCACGCACATAAATTGGCGCACATTGACAAGAAATCTATGCGCCTTTAGTTGAGATCTGCGTCTCTCATAATCATATGCTGGTTTCGGGACGTTAAACCCCAACAATTATTATAGTTATTATGTAGCTCATTTCGGTCGTTGCCGCATTTCATACACCAGTACTTGTTCCGGCGGGATATACAGTTCCCATTACTGATGTATGGCAACTATAGTCGGCCGTGGCTTCATTCGTGCGTACGACGAACCTGAGAAGGAGTTGGGTAATCAAGAGTGTCGGAGGTGTGTTCCACAGCGCGTGTACTTGCATGCATGTTATAAGAACGCATGTTTCGCCACCGCGATGCTCGGGCGCCTACCATTGTCCGAAGGAACTGCGCACACGCAGGCTGACCGACGTCATCCGTGGACGGCGCCGTACAAGCTGGTCTTCTTTTGCCCACGACCGCTGACCGTCCGCGATGACCTCTCACTACATGGGTAAGTAAGTGAAGACTCGGTGAGGACTTGGGATATTGCAGCGTATAGCGCACCTTAAATGCTGGTACGAATGCTGTGCATCACCGCGTAAGACGGGATGAGTCTCTCCTGCAAAGGGAGCATTAAATCGCTAATACCGAAGCGTGTGTTCTCTCGCTTTCAAGTTTTCATTTTGTTTTTAGATGCATTGAAAGTTGCCGCGGCTGAGTGTTTCCATTCCGAGAGGTATACGCGCATGCATGTACATGACGTGAAGTTAGCTGCTTGTATATACTTCCTTTAAGCGCTGTTATTCGTACTTCGAATGAGGGCAGCACGGAACTGACTATAGTTACTTTCCGTTGCATAGAATAACTTAATCTGTATATTCTTCACATCCCATCCGATTATTTCTGTTCTCTAAGTGCTGTGTGTTCGTGTACAGTCTGATGGAACCCGTTTGCAAAGAGCATGTTTGTACTGTTTCAAGATTAGCATTTCAGTTCAAGTCAAGACCGACTACAAAAAATAGATGAGACAAGCACTTGTGTTCGTCTCATTGTTTGTGGTCTGTCCTGGCTTGCGCTGAAGTTTTGACCGTAATACTCTGTACCAAATTTACTGAGATTTGAGCTAATGCTGTAAGGTACTGATGCCTAATGCTATGTGCCAAAGGCTTTTTGAGATTTGTGCTGACTTGGAATTACTTTGCCGTATTCACGATGGTGCTAGTCTTCTATCAAGAAGTCGAAACTGACTTAGTAAGATGCCTTCAAAAGTTTCAAAAAAACTAAACCAACAATACAGCCCACCTACATTTGTTATGTTTTAGAATTTTTGACGACTATTTTAGAGTAAATACTTACCAATTACCAACCTTTATATATATCTTTATATTTGAAATACCAATGCTTTCGTCCTGGATGTGCTGTCGCAGATGTTTGGTCAGTACAAGGAGGACCTAGGAGCCTTCGCCAAATCCGAGGCGCTTCGGCTAAAGACTCTAGAGAAGCTGCGCAAGAAGGAGGAGAAGCTCGACCAGAAAGAACTCAAGCCGTACCGGCCGGAGTGGCAGCGAAAGTGCTTCGGTCAGTATGCACACTTGTCACTTCTTAACCTTGGGATCCGGTAGCTCATGGAAAGGCGCTACGCTGATTGGGAGTATGTGAGGATGATGGAGGATTCATCTTTCATATTTGCATTTCGGATTGTCATTGCTGTGGCGTGCTGCCGCTGCACTATTCGTGCAGCTGGGTTTTGCGAAAGGTCCTGTTGGAAGAGCGTTGTATTTTGGTGAACGTGCTGCTAACTAAATTAGTGTGCCCACACTAGTCTGTAACATAAAAGCCCAATTATACGCCATCCGTAGAACTTGGGCGTCCGGGACAATAACAAGGCCGACCCCATGGAGCAACTGAAACCGTGAACGGAGAGTTAAACCAATTCAAATGAGAATCCCGCGCGATATTGCCGAACACAAGTGACGCAGATGCCGAACAATTCGTGTCACCCGTCCAAATTTGAACGTGACCCAAAGCAGGGCACTTTTCGTAGAATCCAAACGCACGTCTATTCATGGAAGGGGCTTTGGTGCACTACGTGGTCTTCTACCACGTACTCAAACAAATGTCCCTCGTTCAAATAAGAGCCACCTCACGGGACGCAAGAATGTTTTGAGAAATAAAATGTGCGTAGCTTCTTCTATTTCGGGAACCAAATTTGCCGAGGAGCCGTGGAGGGCCACGAACAGACCCGGACGGCTGGATGTCGAGCAGTATTGGGTTTAGCTTTGCGCTCTCAAGCTGACTGGGCTTGAGGGCCCTGTTGGCTTTACCCACTGTGTTAAACACCCGCGCTTGTACAGTGCACTGGAGGGTGTTGTACCGGTGGTACAAAAGAAACTAGTGTAAAGGAGACCACTCTCCGTCAAGGCATTGTTGAAATGTTTTCGTGACGTTTGGATAAAAGCCGCCTGTCGGACGACTTGTAAAACCGACGTCGAGCATTACGCACTATAGCGAATTCTGACTTAGTGAGAAATTATTGCGAAACACCTGTTTTTTTTTTTTTTTTTTGGCGATCGCTCGATACGCCTTACATGGGGCCTTGGCAGACACTGACGGGTGCCGACGTGCCATTTCCGTCCAACAACAACTTTCAGGGAAGCCGCAATCAAAGTTTCCCTCTATAGCATTCCATATACGTTTCTGCATCACTTAGTCAACTCCCAAGGATATCCTGGTGCGGAGTTCATTTTTGTTCCGCGCTATTTATTTGTGAAAATTCGTCTTTCATGACGTACAGGCGGACACGCGGTTTATCGTCGAGTCGCCATTAGAAATGCTTGCGCATTTAAACGAGTCTCACGAGGTGCCAACGTATACTCTCATATCTTATAGTGCGTACAGGATAACCAGTCATTCAGAGGCAGATCCGCCCGAGGCGGCTCCCAAGGACGACTTGCCAAAGCGTATATAGTGTGCGCCTCTATATGCGGCCTTGTATATACGTGTCTCTGTGGTCGCACCTTGTTCTTGCCTTGCAGTGTGGCGCGGGAAAAAAAAAATCACATGGCAGCGCCCTTGGCCGGATGCATGCGCACAACACTAAATATATTAGCCGTGGAAGAGACGTCGTGCACCACTACGTATACTTGCGGTATAGGGACGCGTTCTGTGTATACGCAACAACGCCTTTCAATGGCAGCGATCGCCCTCGCAACTTCTATCCTCGGGAAGAAGGCACATATAGACAGTTAATCAAATGCCTTGGCACAATGATTGAGTGAGCTGCCGCGATGAACGTTTATACTGTAGGCTGTGCGGTGCAGCGCTTCCTGCAAAATGTACTTTCTAGGGATAACTGTGGCGTTTATGCTGGTTCTGGTTCATGGCATTTAATGAGGGTACAGTCATATAGACTTGGAAGTGAAACCCAATGCAACTCGTGGAAAAGTGGTGCTGGATGACTTCCATATGAAGCATTCATAATAGCTTGAATGTATGTTTTTTCGTATAATCAAATCAAATCAAATCAAACTTTATTTCGTCCACAGGTTTGTGTAAGAAAAGATAACTCGCCATGGGCAGGGGCCAAAAAGATAGCTTGCCGGTGGCAAGTTAATTTTTCGTCCACTTTTCTAATACAATTCCTTATATATGCTTTCCTTGGGGTCATTGTTTGTTAGTTTTCATTAGTATTGTGTCTAACGAAGAAAAAGAGCCCTTAAATTTACGTCTGTGACTTTATAGTGACAGCGATCGCCCTTGGTCAGTTTTAATGAACTTGACCCTTTTTAACTATTTGTCGGTCAGTATGTGTCGGTCAATCGGTCAATATGTGTCGGTGAAATATTTACCAGTGTATACTGAATTAACGTTTCTCGTACGCACATTGCCAGGGAAATACTTTGGCGTAGCGTGAATCGACACCCGGAATTGAGAAGGCACATGGGGACAGCCGCACAGCGTGACTAGCGACATGCTTATTTTGAAAACAAGGCTGCTTATAAACCACAATAGCCAGGCAAGACAGTTTAACACGTGAGAGCACTCAGAGGCATGCTCGAAAAAAATGTCACTCTACCTTAGCGGAATGAAAACAAAGATAATACTGTAAATCACCGCTTACGCAAGGAACCCAAGCTCCTAGGCGACAATGCTATGGATGGCTTGCTAATACAAAAGTCACCAATCGCATCGATACGTTATCGACAAACAACGACTATGTTGCGAAACAGAAGTCGGCACCAACACACATGGTTGTAGAGTGCAAAAAACTCTTCAGGTGACTGCTTATTAGACTTGGTAATTGCGTTCTCTCAGTAGCTCATTCACGCAGTCTGCTGATTGGGCCGGCATATTGTTGCCTGCGGCAATGAAGGGAACATGATAAATCACAAATGTGATTCTTTCTTTTGTAAGCCGTACGGGAGAAACTGGCTGTTCTGAGTGACTTGATCGTGGCCCCCATAATGTGTAGAGGAAAAAAAAAAGTAGTGTACAACTGCCCGAACTCTACAATTAGCGAACTTCAAACGGCAGTGGAGGCTCTTGTGACATGTTAGCCAGGACATTACAGCACACCACACGACCTGAAACTTACCATTCTCAAAGTCAGCCAGAAATCTTGCCCTCTTGTGTGTACAAGTCATGCCAGTACATCCGAATTCATCTGCGATAGGCTGACTTGAGCATCTTGAGATTCATAGTTACCATAAGTGCCGCACGAGGCCGCCACGCACCTGCGCTCGCGCTCGGGACTGCACAGAAAGTGCGTGCATGACGTAACTTTCTTCCCCTGCGCGCTCGTCGGGACGAGAGAAAGCGACTACAGCGTTGGACAAATCTCTAACGGATCTCCAAAATTTTGCTCTGGTTGATTCGTGAGGCTACAAACTCTTTTAATGAAGCCATTAAATGGCTGCTTGGAAAATGGATGCAGGGTAAAGGAGCTTTGCTGAAGAGCCGGGTCCCTTTCAAGGGGCCCTGCGACACTTTTGAGCATGGTCACAAAACGCTGCCGATCGGTAGTAGAGGCTCCCGAGAACACGCGAGCCAAATATTCGAGCGCAGCGCGCGGATTTCAATTCACAATAAATGATCAAAGTCAGCTAAAAATTGATTTCTGTTCTCTCGAGAAATGACGGAAGACGCTCGAAAATCGCGCGTAGAAGGCCATCTATCAGCCATTGGTTGATTTGAACATGGCGCGCTTGGTCGTTACAGAGATCGCCGCGGGAGGCCGTGACTTGTCCACGCGTGCTCGTGCGATCACACGGAAAAAGCCGCGTATTCGAAGAAAAAAAAAGTGCTCAAGGTCATGAGGCACGCGTGACGTGTCCATGCCATCCCTTCCTGCTTACGCTCCAGTGCTTTCGCTGGGACGAGAGACGATAGTTATAGCGCGAGAACAGAACGACGACACAGAGACAAGAAGGACACGAAGGACTTCTCGTGTCCTTCTTGTCTCTGTGTCGTCGTTCTGTCCTCGCGCTATAACTATCCTCATGTCATACCAACTAGCCCAAGCTGCCACACTTCTAAGATAGAGAACGCGAATGCAGCATGCGAGAAATCCTTTTAACTCCGCTTGTACTGGACGGATTCTTATTTTATTTTTTTGTGCGGCGTTGAATTTGTAAGGCAATGGGCTCTCTTAGTGAATTCATTCCATGGTTACTTGAAAAAATTGTTTCAGGGCCCATTTAAGCGACACCCACCGGCCCCTCTTCTAATTGTACGTTTACGCTCCATGGTTACTTGAAAAAAAAAATGTTTCAGGGCCCATTTAAGCGACACCCACCAGCCCCTGTTTTAATTGTACGTTTACGTAGTTTGTTCGTTTTACGCGAGAGTTGTGTTGTCAGTGGATGTACTGCAGGGTTTTCAGTATCCTGAACTGCCGCTACATAATCAAGCATTTTTGTATCGACTTAATATCGGCCTCTAACGCGCCTTTAGCGCAGCGCCGGCTGCGTCGGAACGCGTGGCGGTGGCGGGTGGCCCAACTCGGCGCCATCCGCGCTACGAGGGGCCCCGGCGGATCAAGTGGAACGCGAGGCGCCGAAGCGTGACGCGCGTGCACGGCTTGCGTTTCGCCGCCACCGGCGGAGAGGCAACACCGGTGGCCGCGTTTATTCGGTTCGGTTTTAGGTGTAACCCTCCCGCACACTTCGACGCACACGCGCGCGCGCGCGCCTGCGAGGGAGCAGCACAGCGGTACAACATAACGCGCGTTCGGGGTCGCGCGCAGCCGACGAAGCGTGATTCGCGACGATGTCGGCTCACGGACACGCACCGGTGTCCCCCGGGGTACCGCATCCGGACGCGATGCCTGCGTTGGGTTGACACCCTGACAGTTGGCGACAGAAGGCCTCCAAGTTAATCAGTGACAATCGCAAAATGTATTGTTTACGCGACATTGAACTATAGACAGATAGAGAGGAACGGAGAAGTCTGCAGTCAAGCCTAGATATTGCGAGGGCGTATTACGAATAATCGGCTATAACGAAGTAAACGAATCATGGTCGTGCCATTTGCAGAGTAAAGTGCACTTTTACGACCTTTCCGTTAGCGACTCTCTCGTC